GTTTTTGGAGGAATCTCTATCAGCTAAGGAACTTCCCAGCCTTGAACCTTCAGGAGGCACCTCCTAAGCCTTTGGTTTTGTGGAGCTACAAGTTATAAAAGTAAGCTCAAAGGCCTTCAGCAGAACACCTGAGCACTCACTGTAGCTCGGTGGGTCAGAAATGAATACAGACCCTCATATCTGTATGTGGCTAGAGATCACCAGGCTGCAAACCAGAAGGCCGGGGGGTGTTGCTGACCAGCGACCACCCCACAAAGGGTACATCATTCCTGGAACTCCTGACACACAGTCCAAAGATGTCTGGCTCCTTAGCTGTACCATCTAGGACACACAAAATGGACATATCCCTGACCACCTCTGGCCATCTGTATTGGTCAGTTAGGACTGCTATGACTTAGCTGTACCATCTAGGACACACAAAATGGACATAAGCCCGACCACCTCTGGCTATCTGTATTGGTCAGTTAGGACTGCTATGAAGACACTTCGCCAGAAAGTTATTTTCTCATAATTCTGGAGACTCAAAGTCCAAGCTCAAGATGGCAGCAGGGGGGGACTTTCTATCCTCTCTCCTTAGTTACAGACAGCTGCCTCAACACTGAGTCCTTTGTTTTGCCAATGTCCAGACTTCCCTTCCTGATGGAATCCATGTTAGATTAGGTCCCATCCTCATGACTTCATTTCGATTCAATTCTTTAAATGCATGGCACATTCTGAGGTCCTGGGGATTCAATTTTCAAAATATGAATTTGAGAGTAGGTAGACACAACGCAGCCTTTGTTAGATTTTCCACCTTGGTAAGAAATACCTGAAGAAAATAACTTAAGGAGGAGAAATATGTTTGAGTTCATAGAGACAGAGGTTTCTATCCACAGTTGACTGACTTTCTTGTGTCTGGGCTGTGGTAAAGTCAACCATCACAGTAGAATACAAAAGAGCAAAGCTGTTCATCTCCTCATGGCCAGGAAGCAGAGAGAAGGAAGAAGGAATCAGGAACAGGATACAGTTTACAGACCCACTCTCTGGGCTTACTGCATCTACCACATCTACCGCATCTACCACATCTACCGCATCTACCGCATCTACCGCATCTACCGCATCTACCATATCTACCGCATCTACCACATCTACCGCATCTACCACATCTACCGCATCTACCGCATCTACCACATCTACCGCATCTACCGCATCTACCGCATCTACCGAGGTCCTCCGAAAGCATGCCAGGGACCAAGCTTTCAACATGCAAGCCTGCAGGAGGCATCCCATACTCAAACCACAACAGCCCATAAGACCATCTGAAAGAACAAACTGGATGTACACATACTTCTTCAAAATCTCTCTGATTCTATTAGGGAATCCAGCTAACAATGGCTCCTAGCTATGGCCTGGTCCCCATACTGACAGCCCAAATGAAGCTGAGATTCCCTAGGGAAGGTAGCTGTCCTCTCTAGGCCACAGTTTCTCAGATGCAAACCCTATTACACAAAATTGACATAAAAATTAAATGGCTTTACGCATATAAAGAGCTCAGGTGGATATCTTACACAAGGCAAATGCTCAATAAATACCAGTAAGTATCATTATTTTTTGTTTGGTTTGGAGGGTTTTTTTTCCCAGACAGGATCTCACTCTTTAGTCTGGGCTGGACTGGAATTCCCTATATAACCCAGGCTGGCCTTGAACTCATGATTTATGTGCTACCTCAGCCTCCTGAGTGCTGGGACTATAGGCCTAAGCTACCATATCCAGTGCAGTATCATGAACAAGTCCATCCTGAGTGGGGACCTGCTGGACCTACATCCAGAGCATTGCTGGAAGTGCTTCAACAGTCAAGTCCTGGTGAGCGTGATCGTAACCTGCTAGCTAGAACATCTGGGGGAAACCTTTATCCTCATCCACTTCCCGGAAATGCCAGGTGCTTACTCTTTCCCCTCGAGCTCTACTTTTGCTTTGTAGTCAGTGGGTTTGCATTCACTTGTAACTCCTTTTGTCCAGGTTACACTCAGTGGGTTTGCATTCACTTGTAACTCCTTTTGTCCAGGTTACACTCAGTGGGTTTGCATTCACTTGTAACTCCTTTTGTCCAGGTTACACTCAGTGGGTTTGCATTCACTTGTAAGTCCTTTTGTCCAGGTTACACTCAGTGGGTTTGCATTCACTTGTAAGTCCTTTTGTCCAGGTTTCACTCAGTGGGTTTGCATTCACTTGTAAGTCCTTTTGTCCAGGTTACGCTCATAAGCAAGCAAACTGAAGGAACGTCATCCTTGGCTTCTCTTCTTACCAAAGGCTGAAGGGAAAGGTCTAAACTAATCCTCCAGTGACCTTCTTTCCCAAGAAGATTTCACCTTTCCCATAATCATCAGTTTGCTTGTCAAAGGAGACCCAAGGTGCGCTGGAGATACGTGACAAGGGCAGTTATGCAAAGACAAGTGACATTTTTGCTCTGATGAACTATCCTTGGTCATTAGAGGGTGCTGGGCCTCTATCATTGCAGACACTACCCCAGAGCCAATGGAACTCCTTGCATCCATCTCGGCAGAGTGTTCTCACTGACATTAACAGAGAACTTCTCTGTGCAGATCAGCACCCAGAAGGAAAGAGCGAAGACACATTAGATGACCAGTAGGAAGTCCTTCAGAGTGGGACAAAGCTGCACAGGTCATGGCAGACAGGTAGGACTGATGCTGGTGGAAGTAGGGCCACTGTGGGCGGAAGTTCCCAGAAAGAAGCTGTGACTGACTGCAAAGACTGACTGATTAGAACATCAGTGATGTGGAGAGGTTTGAATGTTGTGAGTCCAGAGCCAAATTATCTTGGGCCATCTTTAGCTCACTTGATAGTCATTTTATGCCTCACTCCACCCAGTGTAAGTGAGCTAACATCCTGTGACCACCAGGTAAATTCTTCGGAATACATGAATGGACAACTAATACCAGCCCCAAAGCTAACAATGCCATCATTAGCATCAGAAGCATGTAACCCATCTGCATGATGCACTCACCAATGTATCTGAAGTGTGCTCATTTATGATTTTCTTTGCTATGCTACAATAAAAAAAAATTCATACAACCACTGCCACATCAGAACATGATATTTGGGACAATCTGAACCTGTGTTCCTAGACCATGGTCACTCACATTTGGCTCCAGAAAGAGCCATCTCTTTTTCATTTTGAGATCAGAACCATGGTTTTGCGTTGATACCACGCGGATGGGAAGCAAGCATAGAGGAAACGATGGTTATGGCCAGTGGCTGGAGAAAGATGTGTGGGAGATGGGCTCTGTGGGCTTAAAACAATAGATCAGAGAGAGACTTGGTAAGACATTGGGCTGGAAGTTGCCTCCATGGGACATGGTAAACGAGAAGAACCCTAATAACCCAGAACATGGCAAAGAGAAGAGGACTGAAGGAGCACTAGAAATCACTCAGGGAGCAATAGACAGCTGCAAAGTGTGGAGGCCCAGAGGGTGACTCAGCAGAAAGAGGGGCACAGCTCACGCAGGCTTCGCTGTGCCAAGTTCATGTGGGGGCAGAAGAAACAGCAGACTACCTCATCCAAAAGTGAAGTCAGGGGACCCTGGGAGAGGAGACGCCACATGTTTCCTTTCATGTGTGCGATCTAGAAGGGTGGAGAGTGACAGAGAGTTATGAGTGCAGAAAGGAAGGGGTGGGTGTAAGGGAGGGAGAAAGAACGAACAGAAAGTAATGGTGGAGAAAGACAATGTCTAATGCTGTGTGGTTTCTTATATGTGAGGACTGTATAGTATGACATGAAGGCACACGGACTATTGGTGGGGAGTAAGGAAGCCAGTGCGGGGTGGGAGGAGAGACAGGGGAGGGTGATGGTACAGCGAATATGACCTAAGTACAACGATATCTATATATGAAAATGCCATAATGTATCCTTACTTTGTATACTAACTTTAAAAAGTGTTTTTAAAGAGTAAAAGAGAAAAACAAGATCTTTGCAGCAGAGCAAGACACAGGAGGAAGAGACAAGCCAGGCAGGTGATGGGGGGGGTATCACTGGAACATTACAGGAGAGGTAAGGGGAGAGATTCACACCCACAACCGCCATGTGCAGGGATGCACTTAACTCCTCTATGCAAACAGGCTTCCCTGCAGCACACATGCGCACCATCTTCTCCGGCTTCCTCATTTAATGCTGGTCCCCATCCTCAATTGTACTGACTGCTTGATTTCCTAGTCTCTGTAGCTTTCGAGAACATAATTCACCACTGCAGAAAGTTTTATAGGACAGCACTATCTTCAAGAATATTATTTAAGAGAGCTGGCAGCAGACAGGTTTGGAACAAAGTAATTCTATAGCCATTGTTTAGGAGGTTAGAAATCACAAGTATGACAGTTATTTAATGTGGGATTATTTTTGCCTTTGTCAAGAAAGCACCTAAACACTGTGACGACGACCCAGCTTAGACCACACTGTAGTGAATACTACCAGCCTAATATTTCTTCAGGGTTGCATATAGGCCTGCAATGTAACCATGATCTACAATCTGGCCATCTGTGTACTGTGGTTATCATTTTTGTGTTATTTGTGTGTGTATAATCCTACATTTCTGTTCTATTTCTCAAGAGCTTGTGATTCTTAATCTTAAATGCAGAAATCAGTATTTTGTTGTGGTTCTGTGAGTTGAATCAAGGGCCTGTGCACACTAGGCATGTTCTTTACTGAGCTCTATCCTATGCAAAGATTTATATATTAACCATTAGCTCCTAATATCTGAGGTCACAGAAGACATTTGGGTTAATGATCACCCAGGTTCTCTTTTTGAGCTTCATTACCCCCATTCCTAGACTGTCTATCATACTCCTCTCTCTTGATTTCCATGTACTTCCCTCTGCCCCAAATACCCCAAGATTTGCATGCCCATGAATTTCAAAAACACCACTTACCATCATCCTGAATTTTGTTGGCAAGCTTTGCTCCTACTGCAGGAATCTGTTTAAATTTCTGGTTATCCACTTTGTCTCACCTGAAGCTCCTGTATGAGTCCTCAGAGTCTTCTGTGGCACCCTTCTGTATGCAATGACAAATTTGGTTGTCTGTGTCCTCCACCAGATCATGAGCTCTGGAACTGTTACCTTTTCGTGGATGCATCCCCAGAAGTAAACACAAAGTCTAGGATGCAAGAATACACAGTATATATGAAATTAATGAATAGATCAACAGCGAGCCATATTGTGTAAGTACAGGTGAAGGTTTACAGATAAGTTATGTGTCTACTCATAGTTCCTCGAGGGTGCGCCCCATTCACATTCTGGCCTTTCTTCCTCCCTATATAAAAATCAAAGCAAATAAGGATGATGAATGCCAAACTTAAGAGGTTAGTGTTTAATCTCAGAGGCAAAGACAAGGGCCTGGCATGAAGGAAGAACACGTATGTGGATGGTGGTCTATTTGCTCAGTGTTCTAGTCTTTAGGCTAGGTGATGAGTTTATGAGGCTTAACTTGTTAGTGGTTGATTCACAGCATATGCACACTGCACAGGACATATATGAAATGATTTTCTTCTTTTACTTCATTTCAAAATCTTCCTTCTGTGTCACATTTCACAGGCACTTCAGCATCTTTTTTTTTTCAAATGTAAGAGCCAGGAGCAGTAGAATGAAGCATAATGGTAATGTGCTTGGTCCTTTACCAGGTGTAAGGAGATGGATGCCCACCTCTAGGCCTGACCCTTTCAGCATCATTAAGAGAGGGGTTTCCATTATAGCCATGGTGGTCATGATGACCCTGCAGCCTGCTGCTGCAATGCCCTTTGCTTAAAAGCACATTCTTAATATCTCAATATTATGGAGCCCCCCTCAAAAACAAAAAAAAAAAAAGAAAGAAAGAAAATCTATGTAAGGCAGCATAAGGGAGCTGAGGCCCGGAACTGGTGTTCTTACCAATTCAGTACAGTCTCTTTGGTGCCCGCTCTTACTCAGCACTGTGCTGGGCATCAAGGGCATTTGGTGACAACCAAACCCAATAGGCACTGCTGATCCCAAGGTTCCTACTTTCTTGTGTGGAGAGCCAGACGTGTTATCAATGACACAGGAGCAGCCGGGGTGGGGTGGGGTGGGATGGGGGGACCTTAACTTTAAGTTGTGGGTAGAGGAGGGTGGTGAACTAAAAAGAACTTCCAGTGGAAGAGAGGAAGGACAGTTCCTGGAAAGGAGCTAGGACCAAGATATGAATACAGATTTACTGTGACCGGTAAATAATTTGACCTTCTAGACTGCCCCGAGGATCTCTCTCTCTCTCTCTCTCTCTCTCTCTCTCTCTCTCTCTCTCTCTCTCTGTGTGTGTGTGTGTGTGTGTGTGTGTGTGTGTGTGTGTGTGTGTGTGTTTTCAAGAAAGTTGCCATTAGGATGGCACACCAGTAGTTTTGAGAAGTTCACTAATGTACTCCTTAACCCTTATCTGTGGCCCCCAGGTAGCTGGAACTTAGGATATGTGGGTTATGTTTGTATTTTTTAATTTTAAAAATGTATGTATGTGGGTGTTTTGCCTTCACGTATGTCTGTGCTCAGCATGCATGCCTAGTTCCCATGGAGGTCAGAAGACGGCATTGGATGCTCTGGAGCTGGAGTTACAGATGGTTGTGAGCTGCCATGTGGGTGCTGGGAATTGAAGCCAGGTCCTCTGGAAGACTAGCTACTGCTCTTAATCTCTGAGCCATCTTTCCAGCCCCAATTCAGGTTATAATTCTTAAAAAAAAAATATTTCCAGCTAAGTGTGTAGATTCACACCTGTTATCTTAGCACTCAAGAAGCAGAGGCAGAAAGATTGCTAAGAGTTCCAGTTTTGTCTGGACTATAGTGTGAGACCCTGTCGCAAAATAGATAAACAAGCAAATAAAAGAAAACTTTCTCTGCAGGAGTTAATTAGGTTTGACTTGGATCAAGCTTAAGAAATTATGTTATATCTTTCAAGGACTTGAAAATTACTAAAGTAAAGAGGGAAAAGTAGTTTGGAACCACTGAAAAATAAAAATAAAACAACTCAAAAGTTAATTTTTTTTTCAGTAAAGATATTTGAAACAACAACACACACCAGATACTGGACATTGTCTAATAACAACACAGGGTTTCCTAGGGCTGTTGAACAAAGCCTTCCCTGTGGTCTTCCTTACCCCAAACTCCTCCATAGCGCTAAGTATTCCTGTTTCTATGTGTCTTTCACAGAACCATGGAACTAGCTCTGTCAGGTGGGGGCCTGTGCTGCTTCTTCAATAGCCTAGGCAGAACCCAGCTTTTGGGTTCCTCACTTGGCTGGGGTGGGTTAGAACTGATCTCCTGGATTCCCAGTCCTTCCAGAGAGAAGACAGCCTCTTGCAATTCCTTGCTTCTCCTTCCCAACAGCTGATTTTTCCATGTTTTTTTTTTTTTTCCAGGTCTCTCCCACTTCCATTCTTGGTACCAAGTCCTGCTGACAGAGGTGGTAATTAGGTGTGATTTAAGTGCTGCATAATTTGTCCAAGGCTATGCAATGCCAGCGTAAAATCAAGGGAGTTTGGTCAAGAGGAAATTTTATTTCGGAAGAGAAGAGGCGAGGGGAACAGGTGGCACCAGGCCATCTGCTTCAGAAGGGCTAATTAGGAGTCTGGTTTTGCTGAGAACATTTTTAGAAAAAGCATTTGCAAGGGTTGCTGAAAAGTAGTATCAATTCTGAGAAGGAAGTGAGAAGAGCCGCACAGGCTGAGCAGGCAGGGTGCTCCAGCTGCATCCAGGGCCAGCTCAACCTCACAGAGAAGGAGTCCCCGAAAAGATGCACCGGAAGGAAATCCTGGAAGTAGAAAGTAGCCAGCAAGCGGACTGGGTGACCCCAAGTCTGGAGTACTGACACCCTGCCCCACTGATATTCTGCAGTGCTCTGTATCTCCAGGCAGCAGAATTAAAGACAAGAATTAAGGAGCAAGATGTTTTGAGAAAACGAAGGTTTTGTCTTCTCAATATCTTGTCTGTGACCACTAGGCAATTTCTTACCATCTGTACTCTGCAAAGGAGGAGGGATAAGTACTCAGGGAGAAAGAAACAGGTTTTAAGGGACAGGAGGGAGGAAAGGCAAAGAGAAAGTCCATGGAAGTGCATAGAAGGTATCATTTCTGAGCATGCAGCATGAATTTGGGTCAGTAAAAATGGCTTCCTATGAATATGCCACTTCAAATATATTTGTGCTGTATGACTTTCCAGAAACACCACTCACTTATAACTTAATGTTCCAGCTTTAATAGTTTTTGTAATGTGAACTAAATTAGTCAATTCATCGAATATTTGCCCGCATCTATTATAATCACTGTAATTACCTTCATCTGTCTACTAAAGGACAATTTCTACTTTGTGTTATTATCTTTACACTGCAATAGCACCACAGAAATTAGAAATTATATTTAGACAAATTAGTTCCCTCCCACAATTTCAGTTTCTCATATGAAAAGTTCAGTGACAGATTCCAAGTTGGCCTAGAGATTTTATATTTAACTAACTCATAATCTGGTATGAAATGTGTAGTGCATAATAGTCAAAAGAATATAATCTCATAAATTTAGACTTCATTAATGTGGAATTTACCATGTTTATATTTGCTCTATCTAGAAAAATGAAGTTTTCTAGAAAATTATTATTATAAATTCAAATGTACCAAGAAGTTTCCTAATGCTGTCTTCAAGAGTCTGGGTGTTTTCAAAACCAAAGACTTCCAATTGCATATCTAATTCTGTAAGTTATATACTGTGGTAAGAGCTCTACTTACCTCGTGGAAAGAAAGAGGAGGGGAAGGAGGAGGAAGAGCAGTGGCTGCCACTGTTCCTTCCACTGCTGGAATAAAACACTCTGACCAAAAGCAACTTAGGGGAAGAGAGGGTTTCTTTCAGCTTACAGGTCACAGAACACCACTGAAAGAAATCGGGGCACATATGGAACACATATGAACTCACAGAGACTGGGACAGCATGCACAAGATCTACAAATTCCCAGTGGACACAAAGTCCCACCCCTAACCAAGAAACCAGTTGTAATTGATACCAGCTGAGAACGGGAGCATTAGTTTCCTCCAATGATGTACTTCTGAGTATATCAACTACACTCTAGGGAAGGCCCCGTGTCCAGGAGTAGTCAGCCTTTACAAATGGATTCTATGGATTTGAGGGTTTTGTGTGTGTGTGTGTTGTTTTATTTTGTTTTTTTTTAATATTTTTTGTCTTATTGGGTTTTTTTTCTTAAGTTTGTTTTGATTTTTGGTTTTTGTTTTTCCTTTCTTTTGAGGGGGAGGGTAGGAAGGTGGGGAGGATCTGTAAACAATTTGGAGAGGGAAAAGAATATGATCAAAATATATTACATGAAAAAAATCTTTAATAAAAAATTTAAGTTAAAACAAAAAAAAAAAAAAGCAATCGGGCAGTAACTCAAAGAGGAACTTTAAGTAGAATCCTTGGAGAACTGCTACTTGCTGGACCAATTCCATGCTGATGCTTAGCCATCGGTTTTATATAGCCCATAACTGCCTGCCTAGGCATAGTGCTGCCTACAGTGGGCTGGGCCTTCTCACATTAATTAGCAATCAAAACAATCCCTCACAGGCATGCTCCAAGGCCACTCTGACCATCTCCTCAGGTGACTCTAGGCTGTATCAAATTGACAGTTGAAGCTGACTAGGACCGAAACTAAAACTACTAGTGTCATTCTATCATATACATCTGGCAAAATGTAGCATACCACAACTGATGTTCTTTTCCCTTCCCTGTGGTGATATTTTGTTTGTGCTCTAACAAAAAAAGCTTGCCTGGAGATTGAAGGGCAGGGCTAGTTACTAGTTAACCATAGAGGCCAGGCAGTGGAAGCACACACCTTTAATCCTAGCACTTGGGAGGAGGAAACAGGAAATGATATGGCTGGGCAGAGAGAGAGAGTGATAAGGCGGGGTGGAGACAGGCGCTCGGCTCCCTTTCAGGCTGAGGAGTTGGCGAGGTAAGAGTTGGCTGTGGCTTGTTCCTTTGTTTCTCTAGTCTTCCAGCTTTCACCCTAATATCTGACTCCAGGTTTTTATTGTTAAGACTAATTAGAATTCATGCTACATCTATCTTGAAAATACCCTTATCAAGAAGTTACAAGGGAAACCTATTCAATGAAAATGTA